TAAGACAGCTGACTCCACTGTGATGTGTCCCTGTCTCTCTCTCTCTCTCACAAACACACGCACGCACGCGCGCGCGCACACACACACACACACACACACACACACACACACACACACAAACACAAATCATTATTGTTACGTCTATTTTTCTATTTTTTACTTTTCATTTCAGAGTAATCATGTCTTCAGTGAAAGTTATGCTTGTAGTTTCTCTCTTCATCCTTGCTGTGAAGCCCAATTCAGGTACATGCTTTAATATACAGATTAATTGCATTTGCTGTTGTTGAGTGTTGGGTTTAAGAAATAGGAACACAATGTAATTTTCACAATAATGTTTGTACCCATGTTACTAGAGATTATGACCCTTGTGCTTACAGCAGTTTATGTTCCAGGCTCAATACAATTTAAGTGCATTATACTGTTAATTATTTTCTGTGGTTAATCAACAGCATGCCACAGATAATGCCAACAGAACTTTACTTGTATAAAACCATGACCATTCCTTTAATTACAAATATGTAAACTGCATGAAATTTGTTCTGCTTCCTCTTAAGTACCACAATCCAAATGTTATGTTTGTAATTTTGTTTTCAACAGGTTTGCTTAAAGTGGAATGCCTACCTGCAGTTGGAATTCTTGCTCAGACCACAGTTATCAGATGCGTTTTCAAAAACAAAGATATTCACATACTTGGAGTTTATTTAACAAAAACTGGACAGAACAAGCCATTTTTTAGTCAAGTCGGTTCAGAAAGTTCAGGAGATCCACGCTTTAGTCTTGAAAACTTAGCAGTGGGTCCATCTCTGCAAATCTCTGACACAATGTTTTCTGATGAGGGCAAATATGAGTACCGTGTTGTAACGGACAGTGGTTTTAAAGAAATACAACTTAGCATCAGTGTCAGAGGTGAGATTCAATTTCTTTAGTCATATAAAACTATAAAACTAACATATAATTAACATAAAACTAACATATAAAACTATATATATATGACTAAAAATACACATAAGCACACTGCCTTGCAAGAGTCTTGGTACTCATCATTGTTTTGTTCTTTCTCAATAAAGCAAAGTACAAGGATCCTGTCACAAGCACATGGCCTAAAAATGTAACCGATGGAGGACCTGCCAGCCTTTATTGCAATGCTACTGATGGATACCCAGAGGGCTTCATCCATTGGTTTGACCGTTCTGGAACCAACTGGACCATAAATTCAGAGCTGACAAAAGTCCCCAAGAACATCAGCGGTGTAAAATCTGTGGCTTTGTCTAGCAAACTGACTTTCAAGTCTATCAACTTGGGCCTGGCACCATTTAGATGCATCGTCTTTAATAGCAAATATGTACAAGATGGAGAAAACACATTGAAGATCACATCTGCTATAAGTAATTAAGTTACTTTAAGTTAATTAAATGTAATCTAGTTATAACAAGGGAGGAGGGAAAGTTTACGATGCCTAAAACCTGATAGAACATCTTGATTGCATTCAAACGCTACAGTATCATTGGAGTCTATATTTTTTCTTAGCAATGCAATTTACAGTAGTGCAATAAAGGACTGACACTGTAAGACAATAGTCTACTAGAGATATCTAAAACTGCCAAATGTACTGAAGATAATCTTTACTTGTAGTACATTATATATTTTTACAACACTCAGGGAGAATCTGTGCTGGTGTGAATTGTATGTATTTTGTTTTTCCAGGTGATGTTAACAAGGATTCTTCCAGATCTAATGCAACAAACATTGTCGCTGGTGTGATGGTCATTGGATCGCTTATTGTCGGCCTGCTGTTTGCTCTGTTGTGTTTCAAAAAAAGAAATGCTCATCGTAAGGATACCTTTAACAATCATTCTAAGGGTAACAAAGGAACTACTTATATGTACTCTTAATTTATATTATATACACATTCAGTGATTATGTCTGCATGAGGGATTTCTGTGAAACACATGCTTTTAATTTGCTTACTTATTTGGTTGCCAAAGGGGAAGTGTGGCCATGCTTAAATTTAGAAAGAACAAGCCTCAGCAGAGCTTGTATCAGGGAATTCTTGTGTTACTGAAAGACTTCAAATAGCAGAGATTTACTTCCTTATCATGATTTGCTAAATGTATTTGAACATAACATGACTGTCATGAGTTTGTTAAACTGCAGTCAACTGCGTTTTGTGAAGTGGTGTTTTCACTTCTCTGTAATTCTTGAGTTAGGTTTTGTGAGATGGTGTTTTCACTTCTCTAAATTTCTTTACAACTTTACTTTTAATCTCATGTTAATCTTGAGTACCTATAAAGTAAAGTTGAATCCTTCATATCTCCCAAGAGTCTTTAGTTTTATCAAATTTGTCTGCAAGCCTGCAAGCTGTGACATCGACATAAATAAAACAGGGACAAAAATGTTATGGACTTAAATTAACTATGGCTAACGAATTGACGAATGAAGCATGTTGATGAGCGTGCTCTTGCACTCACTCTGGCTGATGAGTGTACGCGCTCTTCTGGGAGAAATGCCCATACAAGGAATTCTGCCCTTCATGATGTCATGCAGGGCCATACTTGAAAAAAAAAAAAACTTTCAGAAACTTTTACGAACCCTGAAGGTCATGTTTAGCATGAGAATCCAACTCTTTAACAGTGTAAATATGTCTGAATGCATGAAATAGCATTAGACATCCCCTTTAAGGCTATTTAAAAATATAGATTTGGCAGTAGTGATCAGTGTTGGGGAAAGTTACTTTTAAAAGTAATGAATTACAATATTGCGTTACTCCCTAAAAAAGTAACTAATTACGTTAGTTACTTTTTATGGAAAGTAATGTGCTATATTACTTTTGCGTTACTTTCGCGTTACTTTTTAAATATAAGCAGGGCTTGATTGTTTTTAATATAAGAAGTTCTATTTATAGTAAATATAAAAGCCCTTTCACACCAAAAAGTGTAATGAATAAACCTCAGGCTGAAGCAAAAGTAAATTCACGTCTGTACAGTAGAACACAGGAGAAGAAGGTTCAACACTCTTCAGCAATAAAAAAACAATGAAGCACAATTGTTAGTTTATCATCAAAGGTCAGCAGCAAAGACATTGGTTAATAAAATGGGATTAGGTACATTTGTGTTATTTAACATATTTAATTATTGCAGGTTTGCGTTATATTCTGAGTTTGCATTTCACTGTTTTAATTAATTTTGATTAATACTAAATCAGTTTTTTGTGAGTGGGATGAATTAACGCACATTCACATTTAGTCTAGAACTACAGTAGCATCATGTTCACACAGCGCACACAACTCCTCTGCACTTCCGATTTCTCCCAATATGGGGACAGGAGACTTGTCAGTCAATAAATGGGAAAACAAAGTAACTGGCATTACTTTTTTGAAAAAGTAACTCAGATATTTTCTTGTAAATTAAAAAAGTAATGCGTTACTTTACTAGTTACTTGAAAAAAAGTAATCTGATTACGTAACTCGCATTACTTGTAATGAGTTACCCCCAACACTGGTAGTGATATCATATAACTTTGCACTGAATTTATTCACAGATGGTAGACGACCTTCTGCCCATCCTATTCTAAGTATGTTAAATTTGTGTGATTTTTTTTTTATTTTTAAAAGTGGTGTTTGGTTAAACATGTATTCTGTAAGACTTTTTTGTTTCTGTTTCAACTAGGCCTATTAGTTGCACATTGAAATAGTTTCTCCATGGGGATCATTTGTTTCCCTTTTCCAGCCAGATGTTTAATCTGAGTTACAATCTGTGTAGATTTATCTGAAAGCATATTTTGTGGGAAAGTACAGAAACTCTGGCTCATTCTGAAACACATGGGAAACAGATTCAGCTGTCTCTCTCTCTCTCTCTTTCTCTAACTATCACTATCACTCTCACTCTTACTCTCTTTCGGCTGCTCCTATGAGGGAATGCTGGAGTGGATTATCTGTATAGGTTATCTGCCACAGGTTTTACGCTTATTGTCCTTTCTGACACAACTCTCTTTTTCTGGGCTTGGACCTGGCACTTAAAAGTGCTGTAGCTTGTGCAACCCCTGTGACTGGAAACAAATACAGCTGTATAGACTAAGCTAATACATTTAAAAGTTCTTATCAATGAGTAATATATGAAATGTTGTTTTTAAATAGGCTATGAAACAGGAAGGGCTGATGAAGATGATGTGGAAAATGGTGACAGCAGGTAGGCACACAGTTCACATTTGTGTTTAGGCTTAGATCAAAAAAATTACTTTTACAATTACAATTACTTAATAGTTAACAATTTGCATTTTTTATGGCCTATACGTTCAGTTATATAACTGAAATTTTCACTTTCTGTTTGTCTTTTTTGTCTTTTTTTTTAGTCCTGAGAAGCTTCAGTAGATGAAATTGAAACTATAAGCCCTGATTTTCATACTGAGGTCAGTAGAGCAGCCATTTGACTGAAACAAAAGTGAAGCCACAAGGAAAATGGCAGCTGTTGCAATAATGACAGACTAAACAATCAGTTCTCCTTATATTTACAATCAAATGTGGGTTTAGAGATCATGTACACTAATAACTGTCAAATTTATTGCTACATCAATGTAAACAGAGTTTTATTAAAGAGGTTCTTGGAGGTTTGCTGAAAATTATAGGAAAGATTGTTTTGTTTTGTTGTGTTTTTGTAAAAAAAATTTTTATGGCTGTCAAGGTTAATGTAAAATTGGTTAAATATGTCAATTACTTTATAACAGTAACCAGCTTATACAAACAATAAAAAGCAATGTTATTACTGTTTCCTTTTTGTTCTGCTTTCTTAAACCTGGTCAGAAATCATAAATCATTATTCAAGGTTATTTTAAATTAACAAATTTAACAAAATGACAGCTGTAATTTTCAGCAATAGGAATAATATACAAACCTAAATCTAGTTTTGTAAAAACTGTTTTGTATCCATCTATGAGGTTTCTCCTCACTACAGTCACTTTTGGCTTTACTTTTGGTAATATTTTTCAATAAAGCATCTTAGTAACAATATTAATGCTTATTCAGTAAGCCTTATACAAATATATTTGAATTAAATTTAGTTTCTCAGCTTTATACATTAAACATACATCATGTTAATGCAAAAAAATATATAATTCACATAAAATGTTATGTAATTGTGTCTGTACTGCTGCCATTGTATCACTGGTCACTTACGCTTCACCTCAATGATAATTCAACTTTCATTTTCAGATTGATGTATTCATTTAAAAGTGAAGTGAATGATGCATGATTTGTAATGTGGAGATTTTTCAGCAAGTACAGCAACTGTGAATGAAACTGTGTACCAATAAGAGGAGTAGTTTCTGTTAATACAAGGAATGCTGTGGTTTTGAAGTAGGAGGGGTCAGGATTAAGGATGTGTGTGTTTTCTCTCCTGATTTGGAATAAAACTATGAAAGATATGCCTGTTTGTAAAATAGTCTGCAGAGAGACCTTGAATCTTTAAGCACTTTTGTATTTCTTGTTTTGTTTTTAACCTTACTGTAATAAAAGTAATTTAAAAAATGACATTTTGTCTTCTTGCTATCTTGCTAAAAACATGAGGCAGTGGGGTATCTTCCATGGAACAATAACATTCTAGTTTTACAGTATAACTAACTGTCCTAGTTTTCGACCTAGTTTTTAAATGGTTATTTGGTAACACTGTACAGTAAGGTCTCATTTGTTAACCTAAATAATGCATTATCTAACATTAACTAGCAATGAGCAATTCATATTTTTTACATTTTTTATCATTTATTATGCATTTACTAATGTAAACATTTATAGCTTTAAACAATGCAGAAAATGAGATGAGGGAGCCTCTTCTGTTTTAAAATTGTGTATTACATCTGTGAATCCATTAACCATTGGGAAAGCACAACCTCCCCACACTTTCTGGACTCAGAAATGCATTTATGAGAACTTTACTACCACCGAACTTCACTGTGGGAACCAGGCACTTCTCACTGTACTGCTGCCCTGGATGCTGTTAGATCCAAAATTATTGACTTGGCTTCATGAGACCAGACTGTGGATTCCCCAAACGTCATTTTGTAAAATGAGCTTTAGAAAAGGCTAAATGCATTTCTTGTGATTTGGTGACAGGTACTTCCTGTGTGCATTAAAAAATAAAATAAAATAAAATAAAACCTTTCACTGCTGGGTCTGACTGTTAGGTGATGAACCTGAATCTGCTACAATCAGGAAGATGCTTCCGCAGTCTGATGGCAAAAACGGAGAGGCTCAGTAGGAGCTTCTTCCCTCACACTATCAGAAGATTAAACATGGACATTAAACACACTGCACTTTAGAGACTCTGGTAGTGTAGGGTTACTCAATAACTCTCTGCACACTGCACTTTTTTTTTTTTTTAGATGAGCTGGCTATGCAACTCATCCTCACTGCACATTGTTTACATCTCTGCACATCATCTGTGTAGCAGTTTCTGTGTAGCATCTCTGCACATCATCTGTGTAGTAGTTTAATATATTGTGTATATTTAATTTTTTGTATTTAATTTTCTTCTTGTTTTTTTGCACAGTCTATAAAGAGTATGCCAGACCTACATTTCACTGCTTGTTGTATGTTATATAACTTGTATGTGACAAATAAAATCTTGAATCTTGAATCAGTCACTCAGCTCATAGCTTTTGCCAGCTTTGAGACACTTGTTTGCCAAGTCCTGTTCAATGAATCTTAGACTTAATAGTTCACCTCAAAAATGAAAATTCTGTCATCATTTACTCACCTTCATGTCATCCCAAACCTGTATGGGTTTCTTTCTTATTTTGAACATAGAAGATATTTTGAAGAATGCTGGTAATCAAACAGTTGATGGTCCCCCTTGACTTCAGGGGGACCAACAACTGTTTGGTTCTTCAAAATTCTTCAAATTATCTTCTTTTGTGTTCAATAAAGGAAAAAACTTATATGGGTTTGGAACGTCATGAGGGTGAGTAAATGATAACAATTTTCCTTTTTGAGGTGAACTATTATGTCTAAGATTCATTGAATAGGCTAGAACATATAGATCAAAAGATTGCGTTTCTAACTTTGTGGGTGTTTTTAAACTGGTGGGTGTTTCTATCATGCAATGAAAATGATGCCCCTTACCTGACCCTACCCCTAAACAGTACTTGTCACTGTGACGTGAGCCAATCAGGTAACATGGTTGAAGACCCCCCTCTGTTTTGGCGTCGCCCACCAATCTGGAAATTCCCATTACTTTCCTGCAGAGACAAAACTGAAGCTGCATTCGTCTCCATTTTTAGACATGCACCCA